CAGACATGAAGGGACCCTTAGGGGCGAAGAAAGTCATTGATTGAGTTCCTAGTCCACACATCACCAGCGCATTGAGACTTCGGTATAATGCGCTATACCAAATCCCACTACATTACATTACATTATAAATGGTGACTTAATTTCAGGATTCTCAAGTCTCGGTAACTACTGTAAGTGAAAACTCAATCCAGTCAACTCAATCATTGTAGTAGGAAAGCATATTAATGTTTGTTTGAAGACGTATCTACGTGAAGGAACAGAAAATTACCTGACTTACTAAAGGTGAATATAATGTTTTGTTGACGTTTTATTTTTACTGTCCTGTACTATTAATTATTAACAACATGCTATAGATGATGCTGTAGTTTACACGATAGAGTTTAATCAAATTTAATGTGTATATATTAGGCCTATATAGACCCTAAGTGATATTGTAATTGTAATGTAGGCTAAGCTGTTTTGAGAACTAGCAAAACATTTGTTTTAATTTAAAAAGAAGTAACTGCTAGTCTGTCATTAGCTACATGTATGTATATTACTCCTATTTCAATACAATAATAAAGGGATGTAATACATTTAATAGCGGTTTCTATAATATGCGCTCTATATACTGTATAAGTTTAACATTATTATTCTTTTTAAAGATTTTGTTATGTTGTATCTTTCAGCAAGAGTGAACTCCGAAAAATGTTAGTAAAAGTCACAGTGATTCAATAGTTCAAAATAGATTTTTTCAACGGCATATTCATACAAATTTAGCTTGGTACTATCGGACAAGAAAAGGCATGGTTATGGACAGTTGCTACTGCAATATCACAAAGAATGCTCGTTTATGCACACCTGTAACACAAATGGTTCTTTAATATTGTTTTATATAATAAACTCTTGTATTAGGACTACGTTACGAAAACAATGCTTATTTAAACCGGACTGTAAAGCAGCCTTGAATTTGAGGTACAGTATGTTTAGCAGTAAGACATTAGCAAAACGATTATAAATGAAGGGGTATGCTAGTAAATGAGACCCTAGGGAAGTAATGTCCCTACCGTATGATGTTTGTTGGTGTTTTAAATTAAAGAAATTATAGTTTGTATATGAACTCATAGTGTATTTTGTAAGTCTGCAGAAGTTGATTAAAGCCATTGTTACCATTGGAACTGGGCCATTGCAAATCAATCGGAATTGGGCCCAGTTAAAGTTGAAGACCAGTTGAATTGTCCAAAAACACACAACACCCACATTTTTTTTTATAGAATACACAGATTTTCTATATAAAATCGTTTAATTTATATACACTTTCTATACAATTGTATAGAATTTCTATTCGCATATTTAATGTATTTTTATAGGGTTTTTTTTCTATAAAATGTTTATAGATTTATAAGTGGTTTTTATAAAATTGTTTATAGATTTTCTATAGTTTTTTTTTAAGGTTTTTTATATAAAATTTTCATAGACTTTCTACAGATTTTTAATAAAATTTTCATAGTTTTTTATATAATTTTTATAGATTTTTAAGTCTTAATATAGTTTTAATATATTTTTTATAGAGTTTTTATAATTTTTTTATAGTTTATTTATATAATTTAAATAGATTTTTAATATAGTTTTAGTAAATGTTTAATATAGTTTTAATAGCTTTTTAATAGACTTTTTATAGTAGGCTTCTATAGTTATTTCTATAGAATTTTCTATAGATTTTCTAAACAAATATGCTATAGACATTCTATAGGTTTTTTTGATAGAATTTTATAGATTTTTTTTTTGTATGGGAAGGGCCTGAGTCGACGTACGATTGAAATTGTCGCTCCACCGGCGGGCCAATGATAAATCAACATATCAGACCTAGCTATAAAACGGAAACTGACGGGAAGACTCGAAATGAAACGTAAAACAAAGTTTTTATTTAGCTTACCAATAACAATTATTTAATAATACAATGCAGACGTTGTTTATTTGAGCTCCCTAGGCCTCAGCAATTGATCAAGCCAGTGATAATTACAATTGTTTACCAAGGACAAAAGATGGCTTCCTGTGTACCCTCAACAACACAGGGCAAATTTAAATTCAGGCCTAGCTCTATCTGCTCCAAAAGTAAAGGTAACTTCATCTATTATTGAATGTATTGAAGAATGTGTATATGATCATCGCGAAGTTAATAACCAAGTCATAGACTGTACTTTTTGCAAGTTGATGTACCACCGTGACTGTGTCTGTATTAAGGCTAAGAAGCCAACTGCTTGGATATGCCAAACTTGCAGATCGTCTGTAGTAAAGAAGCTTACTAAAACAGTTGTCCAAGGACTGATGACGTAAATCACCAGAAGAGAATTGATAAATTTAACAGTGGTTTAAAGCAAATTGCAGTACAGTATGAATCTGTCCTGATCGACAATGATGAATCTTTTAAATTAAGAAACAATGATGCAGATCGATCAACTCTTGATAGAAGGGGCCTGCACTTATCAAAGCAAGGCACAAGTCGACTACTAAGTAACATTGACAAATCATACTCATTTCTTAGTCATCGTAGGAACAACATGGACACACCGAACAGTCAACATCAACAAAGACATACTCGCCGATCTCCGAAGTCCAGACGATCTCAAGACACATATCGCTATAAACAGCAAACCTTAAACGAAGGCTTAAATTTCATTATTCTCAACATTTTGAGCGCTGTTGCAAGCTCTGTGGCCTATCCAATCATGTAACAGATGAATGTAAATACACTGAACCTGTACAGTGTTTTACTTGCTATGAGTATGGACACACATCTTATATACCCGGGAGAAGACCATACTTATGTGGCTCAATGAACTCACAACGACCATCAAGAGCATAGGATATCGCTGGCAATATGAAAGATGACACCAAAAAGAAAGAGAAATACAATGATGGTAAACGTATTAGACGTGTGAAACGTAAAAGCTACAGTAAACATAATCCCACCACAGATATTGATGTTGATTTTAATATTGCTTTTAACAATGTTAATAGGATTAAAAACAAATTATATGATATTAGGAAATTTTTAATCGAATCTAAAATTGATATTTTTGGTATTGCCGAAACATTCATCAAATCTGAGGAAGTTTTGAATATTACAAATTTCAAATGGTATGGTAAAAATAGATCTAACAAAGGTGGGGGTGGCATTGGCCTCATTGTATCTGATAAAGTAGATGTTATTAATGATAATCGTTGTAACTGGAAATGTGATGATTTCGAAAGAATTTGGATTCGTTTTAAAATCTATGAAAATGTTTTTAATATTGCTGTTGTTTATTTCCCTGTCGAAGGGTCCAATCCTGACTTAGTGGATGAACTCTTCAACCAATTACTTTCTGAAATACTTTATATTGAAAATGAAAATAACAATAATGATCCCTGTCTCTTATACACATCTAGATGTGTATAAGAGACAGCATGGATAAATTATTATATAAAATGATTGTTGATGAGGAAAGAAATTATCATTTAGGCAGTGATCACAATGTACTTATTACCCAATTTAAATTAAAATCTAACACAAAAACTAATAAAACTCATACTACTAAACATAAAGTTTGGAATGTTAAGCACGACCAAGATTGGTCGAGCTATAAGCATTCGATTGAAGAAAACTTTGACAATGATATTTGGACTAGGAATATTATGATTCTAGTGATAGTAATGTAATTTGGGAAAAATGGAAAATAACTCTATTATGAGTTGCTAATACTGTAATCGGCTTCAAAGAAATTACAAATTCTCGCAAACAATGGTGGGATAAAACAATTGATACAGCTATTCAGGACAGGAAACAAGCTTGTAAAAAACACCGGGCTTGGTCAAAGCATAACAAAGAAGATAAACAATTAGGAGATGCCCTATGGGATAACTATAAAACTAAAAAAGCTCATGCAAGAAAATGGATTAGTAACAAAATTACACAATTTCGTGTTGAAAAAAGTATAGATATTGCTAAAGCAGGGGGTCCTAGTTCTAAATTGTTTTGGAATGAATTAAGAGGCACTAGGCATACAGTAGTTCCGTCTAACTTAAAATGTACCGATTCTGACCAGGTCACAACTGACAAAGATGTTATGAATAACATGATTATGAGTTATTGGAATAATATTGGTAAAAGTAGTCAGTATAAACATAATTATGATATTGTTATTAATAGCCAGCTATTTGATATCAGAGAAGGTTTAATCAAAAACAATGTCAATGAACCAACAAATACACTTGATGATATAGAAATATATTTTGATGATGTTAAAAGTGCTTTGTTACGTGCTAAAAACAATAAATCACCCGGTATCGATTGTATAACTAATGAGCTGTTAAAGAATGGTGGTAATTCATTAATTAGATCCTTAACATACCTCTTCAATAATTTTATTGATAATGGAGATATTCCCAAAGAATGGAACAGAGGGATAATAATTCCTATACACAAAAAAGGTAATAAAAATGGATCTTAACAACTATAGAGGAATTACCATATCTTCATGTGTATCTAAGATTTTTAACCGTATTATTTGTGATCGGATTTCTGAGTTTTTAGAAGATAACAGTGTCCTTACGGAAATCCAGGGAGGCTTTAGAAAAGATCATAGGTGTGAGGACCACATTTTCACATTAAAAAGCATTCTTGCAACGCGAAGTGTGGAAAATAAGCCCACTTATTTAGCATTCCTGGATTTCCGTAAAGCATTTGATACTGTATGGCGAAATGGCCTTTTATCAGTTGCATGGAGTACTGGTATCCGTGGTAAGGTCTGGAATATTTTAGATAAGTTGTATAAAAATTTGCAGTGTAATGTTAAATTTGGTGATATTGTAACTGATTTTTTTCGATGTCGACGAGGGGGTCAAGCAGGGTTGTGTTTTGTCACCCGTTTTATTTTGTATTTACTTAAATGTCTCTAAAATCTAAAATGTTAAATGACAATGATTTAGGCTGTTATAAATTAGGGACTAAAATATCTTGCTTATTTTGGGCTGATGACGTTGTCCTGATTGGTAATGATGCATTTGATTTAGAAAATATGCCTAATATTGCAGGTCAATTTTCTAAGAAATGGAAACTTGAATTTATTTATAAGTCTAATGTCGTTGTGGTCGGTAAACGAACTGACAAACTTAAAAAATGGCCACTAGGTAATCATCACATTAAAGAAGTGGATAATTATAAATATCTAGGCAATAACATTTCTAAAACACAATCTGAATGTTGTCATGTAAATGATCTAGTTAAAAATGGTAATAAGCTAATAGGCTATATCAAATCCATCATAAACGGTCAGGACGATTTTAATAGAGTTTACTTCGGTGATATTTTGTGGAAAATGATCGCACTCCCATCCATTAATTATGCATGTGCTGTTTCAGCTTATAGTGCCAGTGATTATAAAAAAATTAGAAAATATTCAGTTACAAATGACTAAGTCAATCCTTAAAGCACCTATAAACACCCCTTCTTTGGCTCTAATAGGTGACCTTGGATGGGAAACAATTGAAAATATTCAGAATGAAAGAAAAAATAAATATTTTGATAGACTCATTAACTTGGAGGCACATCGCTGGCCTAAATTACTACTTAATGCCTTATTTACCTTATACAATAGTAATTCTAACCTTAAATGGAGATGGCTAAAATCTATTAATAACCATCTTAATAATAGTGGATTTGACCATGTCTTTTCAAGTGATATTCCCCCTGATACAGCATGGTTTAAGTCATTTAAATATACTTTCCAACAAATGAATGTAGTTGGTTGGCTTAATAAAACCAGCGAAAAATCATCCCTCTCTGATTATATTAAATTTAAAAGGATTCCTAAAATGGAAAGTTACCTCCTAACTAAAACTGATTTTTATGGTGCTCAACTTAAGTTTAAGGCACGCTCTAACTCACTTCAACTTGAAATAAAAGCTAGTAAGTGAGATAATAATAATCCTGGTACTTGCTTACTGTGTAACAATGGTATTGAAGACTTGCGACATTTTCTGTTTATTTGTAATAAGCTTGAAGAAGTTCGGTTATCTGAACACGAAAGTTTAGTGAATAAACTTTATGACTCAGGCTTATCTGAGTTATGTAATCAGATCCTTACAAAGGATACTGATGCATTTCTTATCATTATGTTAGGCGGAGACTGCACAGAGTTTATTCCTAATCTACCCAATCACCTAATTGACTTGGCTCATCTGATTTTTGATGATTTTTGTAAATCTTATATTAAGAAGGCATGGGCAAAAAGAATTGAGATTAAAAATGGTGCTATGTTATGATTTTTATTATTATTATTATTGATATTATTATTATTATAATTATTTTTGTGATTTAATTTTTTTTTGTGTACAGTACTTCCTTTTTATTGATTTTCATCTCACTATGTATTTTATTCTGTTAATTTTGAAGCACCATTATTGTGATGAGTGCCTTAATGGTTTGGTTAGACTTTTTTGACTTCATGCTTTTTTTATTGTATATTCCTTTGTTTGGTTTTGCGACTTTCTTTGTACATTTCATTTTGTTACTTTGGATGCACCATTATTGTAATGGGTGCCGCTGTTTTAAAAGCGTTTTTCCGAAATAAAATATTATTATTATTACTATGTAATAGTAACACATGGAAATCAGTAGCTCACTAGGCCTAAAATTGTCAAATTTAGTGAAATCAAACACGGTCTACCTACAAAAAACTTACTTTTGTTTGTCATCACACATAAAAAAATGCGGAGGCAAGTACCTACATATAAAACTAAAAGGATCCGCTGAGTGTTATATTCGTAACCTCCTGCATTCGTAATAGCCCGCATTTTATCGGAAATATTCGCAAGATTAATTATGAGTGTTGATTGGTAGTTGGCTCGTGATCAAAGGTGCCGACTGGTACCGAGATTCACAGTCACTTACTTGGCAAACCATTCGATGACATAGTAGCTACTTTCAGTAGCCACTAAAATTAGTGGACGCTGGGGAATAGGCAAATACCATTGGGAGTTAAATTGATGACGTCACGATTGACTTATACTGATTATTAGTATCACAAGCTTTCGATAAATTCATGACGACTCAAACAGTATGTTTATTCTCAGCTAAAAAAAAGTTTGTTACAATAATGCAAGATCTGATTTTGTTTAAGGAAACCATTGCTAGGTTGAAGGATATTATGTGCCTTTAAAACGTCTATCAGTCTATTATAAAATATTTTTTTTAAACTTTTGAAAATCACGAAAGAGGAGAAATCATCAATTTTATGTACTGCTGGGATTAGTTTTGCTTAGTTTATTGTCGAAAATACTGGAAAATGAATTTAATTATTATACAATACCGTCACTCATTCGCACTCCAAATACATTACCATTACCAAATATTATTATAGGTTATTGTACCTGTAGGCTCAGTAGTAGCATTAGTATTTCAGTCTGTACATACCCTTTTATAGGATGACAAGCTATTCCCGACGGCCTTTCGAGGCCTGTATCAACAATAGTAATGTCGGGTCCTCCGTTGAAATAAGTTGTCACTTTGATCCAGTTATAACCTTCGTCCACCCAGTACACATTTTGAGACAACCAGTCAATTGTTATAGCCTCCACTCTACCAGAGGTAGGACCTGAAATGCTATGAGCATCGCCACCAAGAGTTCCAAAAGCATCACTTAATAAAATCACGTGATTATCTTTATCGTGGAAAGTAACATTTCCTGTGTGGTAATCCGAGGCTACTGAGGTCCAGTAGTGGGTCTGAGATGCATAAACCTCTTTATAGTTTAGCGTCATGCCACTGTTGTAGGAGTCTGAATTTGCAGATAGCCAACCAATAAAAGACTGAGGAGTCTGGTAGATTGCCAAAAACAAAGTATTTCCTGTATCCTTTCCAAAAGCTGTAAGTTAACACAACAAAATACTAATGAATAGAACATTTGTAAAGTTGAGCTAGAGAAACTGTGTACGGTAATTTTATGTGACTATAAATAATATAGCCTTGTAACATAAGCGGTCAGACATTCTAAAAACCATATCGATTAATCAATCTCTATTTTACTTGTGCAAACTTAAAAAAAATATACACATGCAAGGAAACTTTATATTTCCACACATTTATATTGATCATAATGTACAGCAATACATGTTTTTTTTTATCATTAAGTACAGTGGGGGGGGGGGGTGGATGGAAAGAAGAATGGGTGAGTCAGAAAAGCCAATTAAGGTTTTAAGATTGATCCACTCCTTAAAATATAGTGACCTTTAATATATAACAAATCAAAACAAATATATATATATATATTCTCTATATATATATTATATATATTATATTATATATTATATATATATATATATATATTCTCTGACTGAACAAAAAAAAAATATTATTTGAATGTTGTTTACGGAAACCATCGTTAGGATGAGAGATATTATGTGTGTTTCAATCTATTATTATTCATTTATTCAATTATTATTTTTTTATATACTGGGGTTGTTTTCGCTATCTTACGTATTGTTGAAACACCAGTAGCAAAATAAAGGTAAAAAATATGATAGAGGGGATGAAATAATTTGCGCAATTTGTTTAATGACGCCTGCATTGAGCATCGCCACCAAAAGTTCCAAAAGCATTACATCATTACATCTTGGAAAGTTACACTTTCTGCGTGTTAATCAGTGGCTACTTAGGTCCAGTAGTGAGCCTGGGATGCATAACTTGTTTTATAGTTTAGGTCTTGCCTCTGTTGTAGGAGTCTGAAATTGAAGGAAGCCAACCAATAAAAGACTGAAAAATTTAGTAGATTACCAAAAACAAAGTATTTCCTGTTAACACAACACAATACTAATGATTTGAAAATTTGTAAAGTTGAGCAAGCGCAACTGTGTACGGCTATTTAATGTGACTAGTATACCCTTGTAACATAAACGGTCCGACATTCTAAAAACCATATCGATTAATCAATCTGTATTTAACTTGTGCATACCTAATCAATCTGTATTTTACTTGTGCATATTAAAAAAAAATACACGTATAAAGAAACTTTTCATTTCCACACAGAGTTCATTGAACATAATGTACAGCAATACTTGCATTTTGTTTAATCATTAAGTACAGCTTAGTGCGGGGAGAATGGATGAATCAGAAAAGCCAATTAAGGCTTTAAAATCGACCCACTCTTTGAAATATAGTGAAGTTTATTTATATAACAAATCAAAACACCTACTAAAGAAACAAAAAACAATATCTTCTGACTGAACAAAAAAAAAAAATATTACTAAGTGCTTCAATTAATCATCAGAACAACTGCTCTTTTATTACATCCACCAATGAAGTTGGCAGTAGGTTATTTTTTCGTCTCGTTTTTGTGTCTACTGCCTCCAACGGGGGCGTAGACACTATGTCATGATGTAGCAATTAAAGATGGCGGAAAAGGGTAAATCTGGCTTAGGCATGATGGGTACTACTACCGCGAGGTAAGGGGCACTCTATTGACAATCGAATAGCGTTCGGAACTCGAACAAAATTGCGTTTGAAACCCGAACACGCGTTATACAGACGCAGCACGCATTCGCCACAAACGCCTTTTACCGTCATTTGCAGGACGCCCTCTAGAACATGGTAGTACTCTTCATGGTAACTTCAGGAGTTACTTATTTTTGAAGTGTTTATAGTTGTAGGCCTATACAAAATATTGTTATGAAAGAAAATTTTCATGAAAAATCCAGATACACTACAATAATACACACATCTGCATATAGAAGAACTGTTTCTGCTGATAAAATAAAAAAACACGTGTTTTAAACGCTTATTAAAAAACACGTGTTTTTTCCCCAGTAGAAACGGGTCACAAAACAAAAACACGGTTAGGAATGCGTTCTAAAAACGCGTGTTTTTACACGCATTCGTTATAGGGTTTGCGTTCAGAAAACACGTGTTTTGTTGCTCACTTTTCACTGCAACGCAATACCGTGTTTTTCATGACCCGTCGGTGACCCAAATTGACCTCTTCGTTGGTTTGATCGCCCGTCTGCGGGAAATTCGGGGCGAAGAAAAAAAATTAAAACAATAGGATGACATGCTTGAAGATCATACCATACTTTGTTCATACTTTCTTGGTGTTTTGTTTACTCCTTTCGCAGCATGCGCAATACCTCGTAAGAAGTAAGGTCAGCTTCAACTTCCGTTGGTGACCGTCATTTTAAGCTCCGCCTACATGCCGATGTTAGCATTACCGTGTTTTTATTAGTTGCAATTTTTACTAGAAACGCGTTCAGGAGGAATTTAACCGTTTATAGAAAACACGTGGTTTAGGCGTTATTCAGCAGAAACACGCCTACAGCCCACAGTTTTTAATAGAAATTCGTCAAACTTGACCACAGTGTTCCTTTACCTAAGATCTACAGCTGATTAAATTTTGAAAGTTCACTGTCAAAGGTCAAGGACGCAATGAACGAAAAACTATTTTTAAATGTATTTGTCTACAGCCCATAGTTTTAATCACAAACTTGTCAAATTCGGTCACAATATTTTACGAATAAAGATCTCATTACCTCCGCCAACGAAGTCGGCAGAAGGTTATGATTTTTTTTTTCAATGTGTATTTATTTATTTCAGGGTCAAAGGTCAAGGCAATTTATTTGTGTACAGCTCATAATTTTAATCACAATGCACCTTGACCAAAGATCTCAAATTGTTTGAATGTTAAGGGCAAGTGTTAGGCCTAATGGTCAAGCTCACAATCAACAAAAGAATAAAAAAAAATTAAAATTGTAAAAGTTTGCATCAGAAATTTGTCAAACTTGGCCACAATGTTGCTATACAAGAGGAAGGTACTAAACAATGATTAAATTTTGTAGGGTCAGGGTCAAAGGTCAAGGCCACAACGATCGAAAATTTGTATGACTGTTTGCTACATGATCATTAATTTCAAAGCGATTTATGTGAACACAGATTGGTGTGGTGGTAAGAAGAGTGTTTTTCAAACTACCAACCCCGGGTTCAAATTCCAAGGTGTCTATTTGTATTTTTTTTTTCATTACTTTTTTTATGGGGACAATTATATGCGGAGGAAATTTCAATTCAATTTAATTCAATTAACTTTATTCCAATATCAATATAAACAATACAATTATTAGCAACAGAATTATCCTGATGAGAATGTGAACGTAGGTATGCTCTCTCCGAGTGCTTTCTAATTTATTATTAAGTTAATTCGCAACATAAGTAGATAATACGTATTGATTGTATTTAATTGAAACCGAGAGGAGAATTGCATCTAAAATTGGAATCCATATTTACAAAAAGATATTGATGTTTTAGAAAAAAGTTCAAAGGCACGTTACTAAAATGGTTCCAGAATTTAAAGATTTACCGTGTGAGTCTAGGTTGCGCAATCTTAGACAAACTACTTTGAAAAAGAGAAGAATGAGAAACTTTTAGTCCTGGTCTATACCAAAAAAAAATTTAAACAAGGGTCTGCTATGCAGAAAATTTTCTTTTACTCAAAAAGTTGTTGAAGTATGCATTTGCCTGAAGACATTATCTTGGCTCCGTCTGTAAATGTTTTCAAGAATCTCTTGGATAATTTTTGGAGAGACTAAGATACGGAGTCTAAAATAAATATACACACACACACCCACACACACACACAAACACACACACACACACACACACACACACACACCCACACACACACACACACTAGGGTCCCGTGGAAGCATCCGCTCGGCCTAGCCTAGCATAGCCTAGTCTAATCTAATCTAATCTAATCTAATCTAACCTAAAGTAGAATTACAAACATTAAAACATGTGAATTGTTTTTTGGTAGAAAGGCAGTTGGTTAATAAAGTGGAAGTCCCTTTATACAACAAATAATATAATTTAGATTTTAGAATATAATGTAGTATCGCAAGGTTCCGATAAACCATGAATACTCCAATGATATATTCATTCTCAGATAAAGCTAAAGCAAGTTTGTTGACTGTTGTTTACGCAAATGATGGTTAAGATGAAAGATATTATGTGCGTTTCAATATATTATTAATAATTTTTTTCCAAAAACAATTTAAAAGCATGAAAGAGGAGAAGTAGGGCAGTAGTTAGAAATAATATGTCCACCATTTTTTTTTATATACTGGAGTTATTTTCTCTATTTTAAGTGTTGTTGAAACACCAGTAGCAAAATCAAGGTAAAAATATGACAGGGGGATGAACTATAAATTGCGCAATCTGTTTAATGACGCCTGCATTATATTCACATGCCCTCTTCTTTCACAGGCTTTTAATTCACAAAGAATCTCAATAGTTTTTTTTAGCAGTAACACGTGAAAGGAATATTGGACTTAAAAATCAGAATAAAAATCAGAAACAAAAGTTGTAAAATCTTTTTAAAGTTTTTATTTAACTTACTAGTTAGTTTCTGGGATTCCAACATCCTATTATTATAATAGGAGTATATGACCGGTTTATCTTTATTTTTAAGTTTGCCTAATAATTCATAAATGCCTTTTCATATTTTTCGAAAATGTTTTTTTTTATATGTATTCAAGTTTGTAATATAAATCTACGTTTAACTAAAAGTAGAAAAAGCTCATGATTAGGCAAAATTAGTGCTTCTAGAGCGAAAAAAAAAATCCGAAGCCTAGACAACGCCTATGCCACGTCAACTTGAAATTCCAGAGCTCCGACCGTCAGCTTGAAATAGCCGAGCTTAATTGGTGTCGACACAGATTTTTCTGAAATCATACAAGCAAGTAAATGAATGGAATAAATCGAACGTAAGTATGTAATATAATATTACATTCAAACAACATCCTGATATCCGAAATTATTTCATTATATCTTTTAATTTTGATTTGTTCAAATGCAAGTTAAAAAAATATGTTAATGATTTTTAAT